AGTTCAGGCCTGGTCAGAGGGTTCTGGTACTCCTAGCAACATCCATGAGTAAGCTCCTAACACAATGGCAAGGCCCCTTTGAGGTGATCTATAGGGTTGGCCCAGTGGATTATGAGGTCCACAGGCCAGGGTATCAACAGGAAACGCAGATCTACCACATATACCTCCTGCGAGAATGGTGCAAGCCTGAAGGGTGGACCACATTTACAGAGGGCGAAACGGAAGACCTAGGACCACAGGGATTAGCAAGAGACAAGCCAAAGGCCTGACCAGAAGACTAAGTCCAGATAAGTGAGGAACTGTCAGCCCTTCAGAAGGCTGAAATGAAAACGATGGTGCATAACTTTAGAGATATCTTTCGTGAAGAACCAGGATGGCCTGGGGAGCATGCCACACAATAAACACCCCACCAGGAGCAATAGTGCAGGAGAGGTGGTGGCCCATGCCCCACCACCTCCTTGGGGAGATCTGCGAGGAGATTAAGAAAATGTTAGAGCAGGGAGTGATATGACCATCGAGGAGCCCATGGCAGAGACCCCTGGTCCCTGTCCCAAAACCAGATGGATCCCTCTGATTGTGGACTGCCATCGCCTAAACAAAATTGCAGTCTTCGACACCTTCCCGATGCCTCACATAGCTGAGCTGGTAGAGTATATAGGGAACATGCACTATATCATGATGCTCAGTTTAGCTAAGGGGTACTGGCAGATACCCTTAGCCAAAAGGGACAGAGCAAAAACAGCCTTTGGGACCCCATGGGTCCTCTATGAGTTCATCTGGATGCCTTTCGGACTCCATGGGGCGGCAGCAATGTTTCAACGCTTAATGAATCAGATCCTGGCGTCACACACCAGCTATGCTGCAGCCTATATTGACAATATAATTGTATTCACCCAGACATGGGCCCAACACAGGAGAGCACTATGAGCTGTACTCTTGGAACTACGACAAGCAGGGATGACAACGAACCCATGGGAGTGCGTGCTAGCCCAGAGAAAGACGAAGTACCTGAGCTTCCTAGTAGAATGAGGTACCATCAGGCCATTGGCAGATAAAGTAGAAACCATTCACAACTTTATGATGCCCCAAAACAACAGACAACTACGGTCCTTCCTTGCGTTGACCAGTTATTAGTGGTGGTTCCTGCCCTGTTCCTCAGAACTGGTGGCACTGCTCACAGAAGCCCTGAAAGGGTGAAGGATGGGGCCATAAAATGGATCGCAGAAATGAGGCTTAATTTTGAGCTCCTAAAGAAAGTGTTATGTGAAGATATTGTAATACACACACACGATTTTCACAAACCTTTTATCTTACAGATGAACACTTCAAGGACAGCCATAGGGGCCTGTAACAGGTCACTCTCCCCAGCGCCATCTTTTGCCTGTTATCCGTGACTTACAAGGGGCACCCGTGAAGTCCCCTTTACATTTGTCTTGTCCTGCTTTCTACTCCCCTGCCACGTCTTGATAGAAATATTATACAGATGTTCTTGTAAGCGGGAGATTGCCTATTTTATTTTGTATGTTGGGGTTCTCTGCCACCCCAGGCCTTGACCCCGTCTTTCTCTAGCTAGGCCTACCCGTCTAAACCCACCAGATAAGGTTTGACTCCCAGGCTCTAGCTTCTTGGTCTTGGGGCTCATGGCCCTCCTTTTTTCCCCATAATCTGGAGCCCAGACTCTCTGTCCCAGAGGCCTGTCCACCAGCCCCACAGCCAGGGGGCTGCAAGTTTAAAGCCAGGCAGCAGCCCTTACCTCCACCATTCCTGTCCAAAACACACAGCTGCACCCCAGGTGCACCAAGCCACTTTGGCCTTTTATGACTGCACCCTCTGGTTCCAGGGCCTGTGCACCCCGAATACTGCTCCCTCTATGGCACTGGGGCCTGTGCACCCCAAATACTGTTCCCTCTCTAGTGCCGGGGTCCCCAAGCTGTAGTGGGCCCCCCAAATGAGGCCTCCTCCTTCCCCAATAGCCTCACCCAAACCACCGGTCGTTAATATATCAAAAATTATAAATAGTATGTCCATGGGCTATAAACACCACCAAAAATATAATTAAAGAAGGCAGCATGCCAGCTTACATTTTCTCAGGGGTTTGTGCTTCTGCTCCCCACCGTCTGCTATGGTCCTTCTCCTGAGCTGCCACTGCTTCTCTGAGAGTCCTCAGTAGTTCCCCTCCCGCAGCCGTTGGACCGCTCATCAAGCCTCTCTGTGGAGCTCTTATACGCACTCCTTCCCCTTTGGCTGCTGGCCCCTACTGCCGCGCAGCCCAGGGTTTTTATAGTTCCAGCTTGCCCCCTTCCAGTCACTTGACTAGCTGGCCAGGCTCAGATTTTAACCCCCACCTTACTAGCATGCTGTGCCCAGAAAGTTCTGGTCTTAAAGGGGCTGACATGCCTTCTAGTAACAGGGCTAGGGGTCCCTGTTACAGGGCCATTCTGACTCAAGAAGATGCTGGAATTGAAAGACCCATGGCATATGCAAGTCATAAGCTGCTCCCTGCAGAGATACGGTATGCTACAATAGAGCGGGAATGTTTAGCAATCTGATGGGCCATGGAACACTTCCGTTACTATCTGATGGGGAGGGAGTTCAGGCTTATAACAGATCACATACCCCTGCAGTGGTTTAGCAGGGCCAAAACTGATAACACCCAAATAACCAGGTGGGCCCTGGCCCTGCAGCCTTTCAAATTCCAAATACTACATCGCCCAGAAAAAATAACACCATGGCAGATTTCTCATCCAGATACAAGACTGAAGACAGACCACCAGATACAGTAAAACAGGCATCAAAGCAGTGAGGGATACGAGGTAGGAGTCTGGGCCAAAGACTCGAATCTCCCCAAGGCATTTTGAGGGGGGGTTGTGTCCCAGGGAGAGACAGGTGGATGCCTCGGAGCACCCTCCTGTGACAGAACTCAAGGCAGGATTGACCTACTTAGGGAAGAAAGAGAAAAGCCCTGAAGGCAGGGCTTCCTTTTGTAGGAAAAATGGAGGTGGACAAGCCCTACCAAGACAAAACACCCACATGGTTCATCAGCTGTTTTTATTGCTGGCTGGGAATGGCTCCAGCTGATGCCGTCATTAAGAATCACTGCCTGGCTGATTTAAAAGCTGGTGGCAGGGAAATGGAGAAATGGGCAGCATCACCACCGGAGACAGAAGGCAAGGCTGCTCCCCGGGCTGCACACAGGTGGTGTTGGCAACTTGGGAAGTATACTGGCAGGGACCTGACAGAGGGGTCCAGGATTTATTGAAAGAGGCACCACGCCAGCCCAGCAGCTTGGCCAGACTAAAGAGGACGGCATCGAGGGACCTAGGAGGCACAGAAGCCGGACTTGTGAATGGGGCGGGCTGAAGCCCCGTACCCCAACTGTTCCTTTTTTTTTTTTCTTTCTTTCTTCTTAAATTGTTCTGAGTTTCTCAGGGCCACAAATCAGGGAGATGGGGCCAAGGGCAGCCTCCACAGGCCAGGTGGAGCCAGGATGGCATGGCAGGTGACAGCATAGTGAGGGAAGATCAGTTTGACCAGGACGGGTCCTGTGGGCGGCTCGCACTGCAAGAGGTGGGTGATGAGCGAGGAGAAGAGGAGGCAGGCAAAGACATCAGAAGGGTGAGCCAGTGGTCCAACAGCTGGCCGTCCTGAGGGTTGGCGCAAGTCTGCAGTGCAGGGGAGGTGGAGCCCCAAGAATGCTCACTAAGGGCAGCTCCCAGCCCACACGGAGCAACGAGAAGGGGCCCCAACACTGAAGGAAAAGACCAAGTTGTAGCAGGCGAGTATCAGGGCCTCCTTCGGGGTGAACATGACCCAACATCAAGGCCGCTGGAACACACCCTGCGGCCGGCACTGGTTGCACACTCCAAAGCAGAAAAAGAGTGCCTCCATGAGGCCAGACGGGTGCACTTTCCCTGGCAGCTTGCCAGAGAACTAACCCCTGCTGACCTCAGTCCTGGGGCTTATATGTACCCAGGGCCCTGACTTCTTCCAGTCATCTGACCGGGTGCAGGTGTATGCTAATTCCCCCATTAATCTGCTGCCACAGCAACGTGGAGCTGTGGAGCTCTATCTAGCTCCTCAGGCTTTCTAGCCAGCTGGTTCCTGCCCTTAAAGGAGCTGGCACACTTCGGTGCCCTACCTCATTCAGGCTCCAGCCGCTGCTGCCTGTGTGCCAGCCCTGGGTTGGCAGGGATCATGGGTGTCAGCCCCAGGCTCTGGTTGGCAGTGGTAGTGTGGTCTGGGGGCAGCCCTAGGCTGGCAGGGGGCACGAGCCAGGGGAGGGGGTGGGGAAATCAAGCCAGGTAATTAATAACTGGTGGCTGCATCAAGCGGCAGAGGAGCTGGCTGAATCACGAGATTCCTGCAGCTGTTGAGTCAGGTGGCTAGGCAGCAGGCAAGAGTGTTGCCCCCTGCTGCCTGGGCTGACCAGGAGCAGTTTACTGTTGGGTCAGCATCTACATGTGCATTGCTGAGCAGTAAATAACGCTGCAGTAGTATAGTACTTGTATTTACAAGTACTATCCTGCTGCATCTATTAGTCTCTTCCAACCTAATAGTTCTGTGCGTGTACATGGATGTTTACTGCAGAGCTAATTAGTCTACTGTGCAGTAAGTGTCTCATAGACATGCCCTGGATGTTCTGAAATACTGTATGCAGCATGGACAAATGGTCATGAAGCTATAGTCATGGCTTCATAATTAGCATTCTAAGCCTGCAATTATATAAAAGAAAATTAAATGAAATAGCTGGAATAAAATAAATGCAAGACAGAGCTATGTATTTCATAGTGTAGGGACATGCATTTTACACAAAGGATTGAATTTAGCAGTGTTAAGATTGTCAGTTCAGTGGGGAAAATGTTTCTTTGCTCTTTGTTCGTACATTGCCTTATACAATGGGATCCATTACTGGGTGTCCTAGATGCTACTCAAATATTGGAAGAAAAGAGATTCTTTTCAATTTAAAAGAATTATATTAAAGTATGTACGTTTCATTGCAGATGATAGCAGCCTCCTAAACCTGACTCCTTACCCATTAGTGAGAAGACGGAAGCGAAGATTCTTTGGACTATGCTGCCTTGTTTCAAGCTAAAAGATTCAACACAGAAATGCCAAGAAAAAGATAACTTTGATTAAGCCAATATTATTTGACCTTTGAAAGAATAAATCTTGACTGCTCTTGATTATCAAGTATGTTTTCTACAGTGCTCTGTTACTTTGTCCCATTCCCCTTTTCACAGAAAGTTTTACAATGTGGTGTTGCAGACAAGAACCAAATGGGGAACAGATATACCATATTTCAGATGTTTTTAAATGATTTTTTTAAATGACATTTACATGCATGCTTTAAATCATACAGTGACAAAACAAGAATTATGGTTACTTTTTTTTTTTTACTGTGCAGCCACAAAGTTTTGTTTACAGTACAAGTCTAGGACTATAACTTATTAGTATCACATTAAACTATTTGATCATATTCTAACAATCTTTACACTTAGAAAGCTATTTAAAACAGCAAAGTGTTAACGTTCTAAAATATTAAAACAATATATAATAGAACATGCACAAGCTCTCCTATTGCTTTTTGTGCTCTCATTCATATTTAGTCTTCCACTCTCTCAATTTATCCAAGAACTACAAAGTCAAATATATCTTAATTTATAATACACAAAACCATGTATGAGAAATATTCAGAACTTGTAAATACAGAGTAATCATTGTATCTACATACTGTACAATGCATAGAAGTAATGATATTACTTTTAAGCCAGTGGTGTCTATTTCAACTTTTGGAAGAAAGGAGTAATTCAGTTAAAAAGATGGTGTAATAGAATATACTATTACCCTCAAATGTAAAGCAGATTACCATATTTTGTTTCCATTAGCAGTTGAAGCATGTCTGCACATCAACTAAATGTTCACTCTTATAGGGCATGCTAGAATTAGCTCAGACTGTAATATATTAGACATTTTACATTGTTAATAAAATTTTTTAGTTAAAATTAAAATGATCTCATTTCTGTTTATTATTGCACTAGAAAGTGTAATGAGAAATTTAAACAAACAGTCTTAGCATTTGCGCCATTTTCAGAAGATTATTAGAAAGTGCAATGAAGCGATGAACAATTAGTAGCCATGTTGTATATTATAAAATGTGGATATCGGGAGGGTGTTGTACTGGCACTGCTGACTGACAGACAAGACACAAGGTAGTCCTCAGCACCTGAAAATTACCTAGTAACAATTGTCCCAGCACAGTTTCTGGTACTAACCCTCTTTTTAGACAGTTTACTACTGGGTAAGAGCGGTTTGTTTTCTCATTATACCAAACATTAGGAGCCCTTACCTCATTTACGTTCTTCTTTATGGGGTGCAAGACCCAAAATCCCACTGAACTGTACTGTGCACCCATCACATTTTGTCAAATGAATTTTACAGTGAAATCTACCAACTAGGACCCTGGCTGCTGAAAAGGATATATCAAAACTCACATCCTTAGGCCAATCTGGCAACAAGAAAAATTCATTCTGAGTCCTCAAAATGCAAACCTGACATCCAGAGCAAGAAACAAGCTGATGACAGCAGGAGTGCAAAATATGCATGAACACATACACACACACACACACACACACACACAAAGTAACCAGTGAGCAAGAGTGACTTTATATTAATGGTAATGAAGTGTGAAAAGGAAAGAACCCCGTCACAGCTAGTATGAGGTTTGCAGGGCTGGACATCTTTGATTCTGCCATTGAAAGGCAATGATTCCCAAACCCTGCAGTACAACATTTAACATCAGTGTTCATGCAAAAACTGAACTTTGTATGACTAAAGTAAGTGCTAAACTGAGCCTTATAATGGAACAGTTAAGAAAAAAAAGTCACCGGTTACAAAAGCTGTTATACAGTTGGCAGAAGGCAGGGTAGTGTGGCACCCTATACATCAGGGCTGGGCAAATTTTGGGGCAGAATGCCAAAAACACATGCAAATTTGACGTGTAAGATGATGGCATGCCAGGGGTGGATGAGGGGAGGGGGTTGCAAAGGGTCATATCCTCATGGCAGTGCAGCCCTGGTCCCTTCCCCACCATCTGCCCCAAGGAGCACATGCCATGCAAAATGCCTTTGCATGCCATGGTCTGATACCCATGCTGAGGGGTGCCTATACCTGTTATAGACAAACTCAGAGAGGCATGATCTTTTGTAGGCTACAGCCTTGTTTCTCAGCTGGTATGACTGGACCTGCAGGGAGGAGGGGTATTAAGCAGAAAGGAATAAGATGTTTTAAATGCAAAGGATAGGGAAAGTGGGAGGAAAGAACGAGGCACAGCTGAGAGAGGCAAAGGTAGATGGATGAGATCAAAACCATACACAAAGCAGTTAGCCCATTAAGGGACAAATTGATTATAAAAGCTAACCCAACTAACAATAAAAATCCAGAGTCTCGGTTGAGACCATGCTTAACACAATCTAGTCTGTGGATGATTTCTTGTTGTTCAATTTCATGTTCAAGTTGGTTTTCAGTTTTGTTTAAGAACACCTACTCTGAGGTCAGTGATGGAAAGCCCAGGGAGGTTAAAATGTTCTGGCATGGGTTTTTGTGTCTTTCTGGAATTGATGTCAGATTGGTGGTCATTCATTCTTTCATGTAGGGATTGTCCCACTTGTCCAATGTAGACAGCAGAGGCACGCTGTAAGCAGTTAATGGTATGTATGATGCTGTTAGAAGAGGTGAATGAACCCTGGATTTTGTTTGGTCCAGTGACAATGTGGTCTTTGTTGATAACAGGGCACAGCTGTCACCTGGGTCCATTACAAGGCCTGGAGCTTTGGTGGGTCTCATCAACATCTCTTAAGTATACCAGGAGGTTGAGAGGGCATTTGCAGAGGAAGCAGACTTCAAGATCTGTCATAAATATATTGGCCTATTGGTGGGCATGTGGCAATGCGATTCATGTGTAGGTATAGGGAGTCTCCAAATCTGAAGTAGTTGTTGTAAGGAAAAATTGGGAAAATGAAACAAGCAATGTCAGCCTCAGGGATAATGTTTCTTACAGCTTGTAATCTGTTCTCAAGGGGGATGATGGTGTACATAGATGTGACACCGATGGTAACTAACATGGTGTTTCCTGGAAGCTTGTCAATGGAGCCTGTGGCAGTAGTGCCAACAACTTCCAGATGCTCAGTCTCAACACAGCTCCCCTCAGGCTAAAACATATGCTCATGCCCCAAACAGAGCAAGGGTGGAGGGGATAAGAGGTTGGGTGGAAGTGGCAGCAGCAAGATCACAGCTCCCAGCTGCCTGACCCTTCCACAGGGGCAGACAACCTTAACCCTCACCCCCTCAAAAACTGCTGATGCATTGCTGAAGCCACTTGTCCCATGGCTTATAAAAGTTGCCAGCCCAAGTTAGTCTATAAGGTGCCACACTGCCCTGACTTGTGCCTAACTTCAGACTAACACAGCTAACTACTAGGGCTGTGAGAATCTTCAGTCCCTGATTCAATTCAGTGGAGATTTTACCCAATTCGGTGGCTGAATCTCCAAATCAAATCAGATGACACTTTAATCTCTCTGAACCAAATCAGAACCCTCCAAATCATTTCAGAGAGATTCAAAAAGATTCAGACATAGAAACAGCTTTAAATATTTTTTCTACATAACTTTAGGTAGCAGAGGCTTGTGAGTGCTGCAATGCTGGGGTGTATGGAGTGTCCCACAGGACCGCAGGGGGCTCCCCAGTGCGCTCAGCAGCAGACCAGGAAGTGGATCAGAAGTACTTCCAGTCCACTTCCAGGTCCACCAGAGAGCATGCAGGGGGAGCCCCCTGTACCCCCTAGCTCAGTGACTGGTGCCTCCTGGGTCTGGGGGAGGGCACCCGGGGTCCCCCTGTGGCTGCCAAGCCAGGGAGGTGCAGGAGGGGCCCCCAGCGCACTCCCCTGGCAGACCGGGAAGTGGACTGGAAGTACTTTTCAATCCTATGATACCAGTGCAAGTCACATAACATCCAAAATTAGAAGTAAAATTATGGAGCCCTTACTGCCTTCAGCAAACACAAGGCTCTCCAAACATACAGGCACTGTATAATATGGCCTAAATAGATATTTTGTTGTACAGATTACACCTATTAAAGCTTCCATGTGGACTTTGGGGAAATGGCATGTGGCAACTTTTTTATTCTTTTGGGACAAAAAAAAAAAAGAAAAAAAATTATTTTAAATACTTTTATTGACTTTAATGCATAAGGTTCATGTAACAGGGAACCCTAGCCCTGTCACCAGAAGACAGGTCCACCCCTTTAAGGCCAGAACTTTCTGGGCACGGAGTGCTGGTAAGGAAGGCGTTAAATGCTGAGCCTGGCCAGCTGGTTAGCTAACCAGAAGGGGCAGGCCAGGACTATAAAAACCCTGGGCAGAGCAGCAGTGAGGGGCCAGCAGCCAAAGGGGGAAGGAGTGCATCCTAGAGCTCCATGGAGAGGCTGGTGAGCAGTCCAAAGGCTGGCAGAGGGGAACTACAGAAGCCCCCAGAGAGACAGCAGCCACCCCAGAGTAAGGACTGTAGCCGATGGTGGGTTGCCAAAGCACGAACCTGGCAAAAAAATGTAAGCTGGCATGCTGCTTTGCTTAATCACATTTTTTTGGTGGCAGTGATTGCCCACAGATGGGACTGTTTATTTTTCTTTTGGTATTGAATACCAGTGGTTTGGGTGAGGCGATTAGGGGAAGGAGGCGGCCTCATTTGGGGGGCCCACTACAGCGTGAGGACCCCAGCACCAGCAAGGGCATGGCTTTTTGGGGGCACATAGGCCCAGGTGCCAGGGAAGGCACAGGATTTTGGGGTGCACTAACCCCAGCGCCACAGGATGTGATCTTAAAAGGCCACGGTGACCTGGTGTGCAATTTTATTTATTTATTTTTGTGGATTGGGGTGGCGTGAGTTTGGGGCCATTCCCCAGATTTAAACTTGTGGCCCCCTGGCTGTGGGGCCAGTGAGGCTAGGCTCCAGATTGGAGCAGAAAAGAGGGCCATGAGCCTCAAGACACCAAAAAAGTCTAGAGCCTCAGAGTCAAACCCTGTGTGGTGGGTTTAGACGGGGAGGCCTAGCTAGAGAAAAACAGGGGTCAGGCCCACGTAGGTGAAAGGCCCCAACATACAAAATACAATAGGCAGTCTCCCACTCGCAAGAACATTGGCATAATAATTTCCATCAAGATGTG